ATTGACGTATGAATATCTGGACGGAGCCTACAGGCGCGGGGAGTGAAGATTTTAGAGGAGGGGCCGCCATATTGTCTGGCGATACTAGTACTACTCCCTAGTGGTAGAATAATAAAATTGCTGTATTTACATGTGTCGAAAATGACAGTGTGTAACAGTTTTCGAAAATTTCAAGATATTCAATATAAAATAAAAATGCCGCTTTGTGTAGCAATCAATTGTAACAATAAAAGTTACCGAAAAGCGAAAAATCAGGTGCATCTAGAGAAAAATAACAACATAACATTTCACCGGTAAGTATTATATTTATAACCAACAAAATAAAATCTGCTCTTTTATCAATAAAATAAGATTTAGTCTGCGTTCATTTTCTCTCATTGGGAGTATAAGCTACTGAAAATCTAGAGTCTACGTTATATATATTATATTTTCAGTTATATAGTTTATGCTCCCAGTAGAAGAAAACACAGGTTTAATATGAAATTTTTTACTCTTTAAACAAGTTCCCAAACAGTCAAGCTTGCACAAACAGATTCTGAGCAAAGTCTGCTATACATTTTTAATGGCAGAAAAGCAACAAATCGAACAGAATCTATTCTATCTGATGGGGTTGTCAAACTACCTATAAATTTGACAGAGCCTGCTATGTTAGCAGATTGACGGTAGAAACGAAGTATATGCATGGATTTACTCAGTTTCCGCTGCCAATCTGCCATCTGAATATGTTAAACAGATTCTATCACCAAAACACAGGCTTAATGTGGACATAGACAAGCTATGGTTTTGGTGTCAGCTTCTGATCGAATCTGCTGTTTGTAAAATTAATTTGATTTGTTTCACTATAGATTTCCAAAAGATAAAGCCAAAAAATAGACTTGGATTAAAGCTATGGGTCTTCATGTGGAATCTTTATCCAAGTCCCCACATTTATGCTCATTGCACTTTTCAGAGAGCGATTTTGATCGTAGCTCTTTGATGCGAACAAGGTTACAAGAAAGTGCCATTCCATTCGTAAGTTTAATTTTACTTGAATTTCATTTTGCTTGAAATCTTAAAGTTTTACAAATCTAAATGTATACATCTTTCTAAATGATATTCTGATTCTAATTCTTCTGTAAATTATTGTTTTATTTATATTGATATATGATGACTATATTGTTTAAAAATACTTTATTATTTGTCTATCTGATATGTTAGAAGCATTAGATTATATAATATTTACATTGATAAAATTAACATTGACAGAATGTATGTGGATAAATATGCATATTAAAGTAAATTTTATATTTATATAGCCAAATATATCAGAAAAATATATTGAAAATACAAAAAAAGATGAAATTTTATCAATGCCAAGTACATCAGTTAATATTTCATTATCAGAATCTACGCATAATAATGATTTGATTGTGAGTATTTCTCTTGAAAATCAAGCTAAACCGTTGGGCGAACGGTACGTTAACGCAGCCAGCCGAATCACGGCCGGCAGCAAACGACGATACATTGACGCGATTATTGCTACAGCAAGGCGAAATCTTAAGGCGCATGAGCATGCGAGACGACAACACGCAGGTGTCGGACAGTAACGGCGACGCCATTACAAAACTATTCGAGCAACAGACGCAATTGCTGCGTGATCTCGCGGGCGGAACCAGCAGTCAGGAATCTCAGGTTAAGTTGCCGGCTGTAAAACTTCCGACATTCGACGGACGAACGGAGGAATGGAATCGCTTCTCTGAGACGTTCAATTCCATGATACACTCGAACAAAAGCATTCCGGACATCCGAAAATTCCAATATTTGGTCACCTCTCTGAGTGGGAACGCGGCTAAGATTATAGAATCCATCGAACTGACCGACGCGAATTACAAGGTCGCATGGGACCTACTAAAGAGGCGATTCGACGACCCGAGGGCAATAAAGAAGAAACATATTCAGTGCCTATTCTCGATGCCAAGGGTGGAGAAAGAGTCAGCTGCTGCGATTCGAGGATTGGTAGACTACACGCTGAAACATTTGCGGATACTGAAATCCCTGAAGTTGCCGACGGATGAGTGGAGCGATCTTATGATGCACATGGTTGAGGCTAAACTCGTTGCGGTTACACTGCGCGCTTGGGAGCAAAATGTAAGTACGGCGGACCCCACATTCACGACATTGGTTGAGTTTTTAGAAGGGCGGTGCCAGACGCTGGAAAGAATCGAAGCAAGGACGAAGGAAAGGGAGAGCTCACGTAAGGCCGAACCCGACAAGCACCGGGCAAAAAACCATGACAAGACGGCAACGTTGGCTAATTCGACGGAGGTTTCCAAATGCTATTTATGCCAGGGTGATCATTTGATGTATCGGTGTGACAAGTTTTTAGCGTTGCCCGTGGATGATCGGATCAAGGAGGCTCGACGGTTGAAACTCTGTATAAACTGTCTTCGCAACGACCACTTCGTTAAGACATGCAAATCGGGCTCTTGTCGAGAGTGCTCAGGGAGGCACAACACCTTGTGTCACCGGCCCAAGACGGAAGGAAGTGCTCCAGTCAGCGGAGGCATCGAAGGTCAGACGGATCCGAGCGCAAGCGACAAGACGAGCGGCAGCCCTGCCGTTCACCACTCAATGAACGCACCTGCCAAAAGGCACGTGCTTATGGCCACTGCCGTGGTTAACGCGATAGCTCCTAATGGAACCATTGTCCCACTGCGCGTTCTGCTCGACAGCGCGAGCGAGGCGCACTTCATTACGCACGCGGCATGCAATCGACTAGGAGTCAAACGCGATCGAACTAACGAAATTGTTACGGGACTAAGCGGAAGCAAGAACGTTGTAAGTCAATATTGCGAGATTGTTGTACAGTCAAGATATTCGGACACTCGGGTCATTGTACGCAGTCTCATAGTACCGAACATTACCAAGCAGCTACCGTCGGTAGAAGTAGATCGTAATTCGTTGAAAATACCGTCAAATGTTAAACTCGCGGATCCGGAATTTTACAAACGCGGTGCCATCGACATGTTAATTGGATCGGAACTGTTTTACGAATGGATGGAGTTGGGGAAAATCGAGCTCGGCGACAACCGTCCAGTGATGCAAAATACCAAACTCGGTTGGATAGTTGCGGGCACATTCTCGCACCCGTCCATCGCGTCTCTCTTCTGTGATCGCACTGCGATAACGACCCTGGCGTGTTTGTTGGATCACTGTGAAACGCTAAATGAGAACTTGAGTAGATTTTGGGAGATTGAGAACTATCGGTCAAATACCACTCAATCGCAATCGAAGGAAGTTTTAAGGAGCAATGAGTTATTTGAGAAAACAACGACTCGCACCAACAGCGGTCGATTTGTGGTGCGACTTCCGTTTATCGATGATCCCAAAACGCTGGGCGAATCGCGGGAAATTGCTTACAAACGATTAACGCAGCTAGAGCGGCGTTTCGGTAGAGATAAGGTTTTGCGCGAGCGATATATAGATTTCATGGACGACTACCTTAAGTCCGGACACATGTCGTTAGTGACCGAACTCGAGCGGAACATCGAACAACCCATAGTCTACTTGCCGCATCACGGCGTTATTAAGGAAACAAGCACAAGTACAAAACTTCGCGCAGTTTTCGACGCGTCAAGTAAAACGAGCTCCGGCAGATCACTAAACGATATTCTGCTCGTCGGACCTACGTTGCAAAGCAATTTATTTGATGTCATCGTTCGTTTTTATAATGTCGCAATGACCGGAGATATTCGGCAGATGTATCGGCAGGTACTCGTGCATGAAAGGGATCGAGATTATCAAAGGATACTCTGGAGATCGTCTCCAGGCGATTCGGTACAAGAATTTCGTTTAAACACTGTTACATATGGACAAGCCAGTTCGGCGTACTTAGCTATAAAATGTATTTACCAACTCGCGGAGCATTGTAAGCGGAATTTTCCGATAGCGTCGCAAATATTGCGCGAGCAAACGTATGTTGACGACATCTTGGCAGGTGCCGACAACGTGAACGACGCGGTTATACTGCGGGAACAACTCGCAACGGTGTTAAGGGCTGGAGGATTTGAAACGCATAAATGGTGCTCCAATCGTCCGGAGATTACGGACAAGATATCGTCATCATCTAGGGAGGATACGCCTAATCTCAGCATCGACACTGACGGCACCATAAAAACACTCGGGCTTGAGTGGAACCCCAAGGAGGACGTATTTCAGTTCATCGTGCACAGAACGGAACCGGTCAACACCAAGCGCGAGATTTTATCAACGACCAGCAAGCTGTTCGACCCTCTCGGACTCATTGGCCCCGTAATCACTTCGGCAAAGCTCATTATGCAGCAAACGTGAAAAACTGATTGCAGTTGGGATGATCCTCTGCCTGATCAACTTCTGGAGAAATGGGAAAGATTTCGGCGGGACTTAAATGCCGCCGAGGTTGTCGTCGTTCCGAGACCAATAGCTCCAAACAAGAATGCAGCGAAGCTATATTTGCAGGGATTTTGTGACGCGTCTGAGCACGCGTACGGAGCATGCATCTTCGTACAAGAAAGAGGCGAGTGTGGAACGATCGCCTCGAGACTGCTGTGCTCCAAGTCGAGGGTAGCACCAACCAAACCGACATCGATACCCCGCCTGGAACTGTGCAGCGCGGTGCTGCTCGCTCATTTGATGACGGACGTTCAAGGCATGATAAATGTGAGCATCGAGGGTATCCAAGCGTGGTCGGATTCCCAGGTCGTTTTGTGGTGGATTCGCGGCGATGCGACACGCTGGAAACCTTTTGTGGCACACCGCGTAGCCGAGATCGTCGAACTTCTACCGGCAGATCATTGGAACCACGTTAGGGGATTCGAGAATCCTGCCGACGTGATCTCAAGGGGCGCGACTCTATCTCAACTCAGGGACTCCAAGCTGTGGTGGTCAGGACCTCAGTGGTTGAACGAAGAGAGCCCGTCAGTATTTGAAACTCCCATAGTCTTCGAGCCATCTCTCGAATTGGCGGAAGAAATTCGAACCGAAGAGCGAGCGAAACCACGAATTTGCGCACTAATTGAAACAAAGAATTTAGTCCTGCACGACTTAATCGACAGGTTTTCATCGCTGACTCGAATTGAGCGCATAACTGCTTACTGCTTACGTTATGTATCTAGCCTGCGGAGGAACCCAGACGAACGAGAGCTGTCAAGGTTAACCGCTGTTGAAATTCGAAACGCTCAGTTGCTTCTTATTCGACACGCACAGGCGGATGAATTCTCTAACGATATAGCTGGTTTGAGGCGGGGAGGCAAGTTGAAGTCGACAAGTAAAATCTTACCGTTGCATCCGTTTCTAGACGAACAAGGCGTACTCAGGGTAGGCGGACGCCTCCAGAATGCATCATGGACCTTTGCGAGGAAACATCCCATAATATTGCCAGCTGGCAATCGACTATCAAGATTGTTGCTCGAGAAAGAGCATCGCCGGTTATTACATGCAAGCCAACAGCTCCTGTTGTCCTCGGTGAGAAAGCGGTACTGGCCTATGAAGGGGCGCAGCTTAGCCAGACAAGTTTGTCACGATTGCGTTGTCTGCACCAGAAACCGACCGAGAAAGTTAACTCAAATGATGGCTCCTCTGCCTGGAGATCGAGTGCGCCCCAGTCGAGCATTCGCAGTAGTCGGCGTCGATTTCGCCGGCCCTTTGGTAACTCTCGTCAACAAGGGACGAGGCCGAAGAACTAACAAATCGTACATTGCATTGTTCGTTTGTCTAGCAACAAGGGCTATTCATCTGGAAGCTACTAGCGAGCTTTCTACCGCAGCCTTTTTGGCGACATTGCGCCGGTTTATTGGAAGAAGAGGACGTCCAACTAAAATATATAGCGACAACGCCACGAATTTTGTCGGCGCTGTGAATTGAAGGAGATGTATCAATTCGCTCGCGCTCAGATGGAGGGCGACTTCGGAGAAGCTCTCTCTAATGAAGGAATCGAGTGGAGTTTTATCCCTCCCCTCTCTCCGCACATGGGCGGGATTTGGGAGGCAGGCGTAAAATCCTGTAAGCATCATCTGAAACGAGTGATGGGAAATGCTCTGCTTACTTTCGAGGAGCTTTCCACGGTCCTAGTACAAATCGAGGCCTGCCTCAATTCGAGACCCTTAACTCCCTTATCTACGGATCCAGATGATTTGCAATGTCTTACTCCAGCTCATTTTCTGGTGGGAGAGTCGATGACCAGTTTCCCGGACGCGGATGTAACGGACGTGCAACTTAACCGGTTGGATCGCTGGCGTCTGGTGCAAAGAATGACTCAGGATTTTTGGAAACGGTGGGCGGCGGAATACATTTCTAATCTTCAAGGCCGCACGAAATGGAAGAAGGAACAATGCAATCTCAAAATTGGAGACCTGGTAGTGCTGCGCGACGAACAGCTTCCACCATTGAAATGGAAATTAGGGCGCGTGTTGGAGCTACACCCGGGCGCTGATGATTTAGTGCGGGTCGTGACTGTTAAGACGGTGGACGGTAATCTTAAGCGTTCAATCGGTAAGCTGTGTAAACTGCCTGTATTTTCGCCTGAAAACGATAAAAATTAGAATGTCTAATTTGGTGGGCGGTATGTTGAGAGCCGATACAATTACCGACCGGCATAGGGCGACGACGATGTAGATGGCGTTAAGATCGCGGGCGCTGCATACTTTCCTTTGTATATCCTTTGTAGAGTTAGTTGGTGTTCAGTCGTCGAGAGAGAGACTCGACCTATTGTTTTATTAAAAGTCTTTCGACGAACACAGTGTCTACGTTTTTACACCCACACTAGAGCTAACTAGAGCTAACAGGCGGATCAGAAAAGTAGTCTGATTAATCGATGTAATTGTTTACTTCACGATGCTGGTGTAAGAGTGTGTGCATTAACTTTTGATGGTGCTGCTACAAATTTCTCTACGGCAACAAAATTAAAATGCAATTTTACACTCTGTTTTACAGACTTGGTTTCCTCATCCAGTTACGAACGACAAAGTGTTTGTTTTTCCTGATCCATGTCATATGATAAAGCTTGTTCGTACCCGGGAAAAATGGAAAAGATCTGAACAGAACTGATCAGA